CTGTAACATGTTTGTGCAATCTGTCTATAACAATTTTGTGCAACATGACCCTCTGTAACATGTTTGTGCAATTTGTCTGTAATGTTTTTGTGCAACATGACCCTCTGTAACATGTTTGTGTAATTTGTCTATAATGTTTTTGTGCAACATGACCCTCTGTAACATGTTTGAGCGATCTGGAATAACGTTTTTGTGCAACATGGCTCTCTGTAACATGCTTGTGCAATCTCTCTATAGCATTTTTGCACAATATGACTGTGTTTATAACCTTTGCGTGCCATGTTTCAACAGATTTGTTTTCTCTTTTTTGACAGTTCCACCTCCTCCCCAACCTGGTAAGTCTCAGTCTCTTGTTTTCCTCTTTCCTCTGCCTGGGTTGGTTTCCTTTGCACTGAGAGAGAACATGGATTTTGGTGGGTGGGGTGGCCCTTTGGGGTGTGTTTTGTATGGATGCTTTGCACCTTCTCCTGCAAAGTGTGGCAGGCGGATGGGGATGCATAGAGACACGTGCACTGGTTCATGGCCATCCAAGAGCATGTGCTCTAGCATTTGAGGCCACTCTACCCTGGAGCTCTCCCTTCTGCCTTCGTTCTTGCGTTCCTCAAGGCCCCCAATAACCTTGCAAAGACCAGTCTGGGTGGAGAGTGATGTGCCATGCTATGCATCATGCGCTTTCCTCCTTGCAGGACGGGGATTTTCCAGGTCGACCATGGCTGGCATTATCTTAGGGTGCCTGGGGGCCTTAGTCATCCTGGGCGTGGTAGTTCTCATCGTGAAACGTGAGTAAAACCCTGGGAGCTGAACAGTCCCGGTTCCCATTGTTAGCGTTAGCAGAGTATCGCAGAAGCTCAGAATAATGGACTCTGGAGTCTCTGGTAAAAGCAGGTTTTTAGTTTTACTTAAGCAGTTCAAAATAGACAACATACACCATCAGCAGACAGACGTGAAGAACACAAACCAAAAGCTAATACAAACTGCAGCTAGAAGGAAGTTTATCTCTGGCACTCCCTAATCTTGCACAGAGCAAGAACTCAGGGTCACATTCTCACAGCTCGTTACTTTGCTGTTTAACCCTTCTGTGTCAAACTACATCCTGGCAATACAATTCTATTACAATCACAATCCCATCACATAAAATTACATTTAAACACACATCATACATGAATTACACACTGACACCCATCATCAGGATTACCTTTTAAACTTTCAAAAACGTTAATTAAAAATGTTCTTTTATTTCATTCACAGCTAGCTGTACCTGCCATGCGTTGCTGTGGCCAACCTTCCCTCCTTCTTTCTCTCCTTCATTCTTTCTCTCCTTTTTTTTCCTTTCCTTCTCTCCTTCCTTCCTTCTCTTCCTCTACCCTTCCTTCCCCCTTTTTCTTTCCCTTCCTCTTTCTCCCTTCTCTACCTATTTTTGGACTGCAATTCCCAGCAGTCCTCCTGATCTATCTATGTATCTACCTACCTACCTACCTACCTACTTACCTACCTATCTCTATCTAATCCGTCTTTCTGGAGGTCAAAACTTAAGTCAACATTGGCACTTAAATACAACACCGCCTGAGCTCTGCGAGTGCAGAATTTTTCCAAATGAAGCAGAGAGTGTTTGAGGACCGGGATATCCGGAGTGAGACCAAGGGGCTTGTTTATAAAGTCATTCCCCTCCCAACCCAGCTATACGCCTGCGAGACGTGGACTGTCTACAGATGTCAACATTGAGACTGAAATACAACACTGCCTGAGCTCTGCGAGTGCAGCATTCTTCTGAATGAAGCAGAAAGTGTTTGAGGACCGGGACATCCGTAGGGATACCAAGGGACTTGTTTATAAAGCCATTCCCCTCCCAACCCAGCTATACACCTGCGAGACGTGGACTGTCTACAGACGTCAACATTGAGACTGAAATACAACACCGCCTGAGCTCTGCGAGTGCAGCATTCTTCCGAATGAAGCAGAGAGTTTTTGAGGACTGGGACATCCGGAGGGAGACCAAGGGGCTTGTTTATAAAGCCATTCCCCTCCCAACCCACCTATACGCCTGCGAGACGTGGACTGTCTACAGACGTCAACATTGAGACTGAAATACAACACCGCCTGAGTTCTGAGACTGCAGCATTCTTCCGAATGAAGCAGAGAGTGTTTGAGGACTGGGACATCCGGAGGGAGACCAAGGGGCTTGTTTATAAAGCCATTCCCCTCTCAACCCAGCTATACGCCTGCGAAACGTGGACTGTCTACAGACATCAACATTGAGACTGAAATACAACACCGCCTGAGTTCTGAGACTGCAGCATTCTTCCGAATGAAGCAGAGAGTGTTTGAGGACTGGGACATCCGGAGGGAGACCAAGGGGCTTGTTTATAAAGCCATTCCCCTCTCAACCCAGCTATACGCCTGCGAAACGTGGACTGTCTACAGATGTCACATGCAACTCCTGGAATGATTCCATCAGCGTTGCCTCTGAAAAATCCTGCAAATCTCCTGGGAAGACAGGCAGACAAATGTCAGCATGCTGGAAGAAGCAAAGACCACCAGCATTGAAGTGATGGTCCTCCGCCATCAACTCCGCTGGACTGGCCACGTTGTCCGGATGCCCGACCACCGTCTCCCAAAGCAGTTGCTCTATTCCGAACTCAAGAACGGAAAACGGAATGTTGAGGACAGGAAAAGAGATTTAAAGACGGGCTCAAAGCCACCCTTAAGAACTCTGTCATAGACACTGAGAACTGGGAAGCCCTGGCCCTTGAGCGCTCCAGCTGGAGGTCAGCTGTGACCAGCAGTGCTGTAGAATTTGAAGAGGCACGAATGGAGGGCGAAAGAGAGAAAGGTGCCAAGAGAAAGGCGCATCAATCTAACTCCGACCGGGACCTCCTTCCACCTGGAAGCTAATTTCCTCACTGCGGAAGAAGATGAAGGTCAAAAATAGGGCTTCACAGTCACCTACGGACCCACCGGCAGGACACCGAACTTGGAGGACCATCATCCTCATGTTTAGATACACCCTACTCTGTACATGCCCAGTGTTTTAAAATTTTAACTTATTACATCTGGCCCTGTCATAGTGTCTGAAATCTCGTGTGTTATTACTTATATGTTTAGTTATATTTTTATATTGTTCTATTTGCTTGTTTGCTTTGTTGATGTACTATTGTATTTGTATTTGACGGGCTTAGCCTCATGTAAGCTGCCCCGAGATGGTGGCAGGGTATAAATAAGTTATTATTATACCATCGGACTACAAAGGATCGCCTAAGTAAGTATATACATATAATATTTATAATATAACTAGCTGTCCCCTGCCAGGCGTTGCTGTGGCCCAGTCTGTTGATCTGGAAAATAAAGTAATGAGAAAGTGTTGGTTCCTAATCTATGTAATTTCTCTATCCTTGTGGGTAAACAATATTTCTTGCTGTTTCTTTGTCAGTGTTGATGTGGAGAGTGTCTGGTTTGCCTACTCATGGAACATGGAACATATAATTGTCCTTCTTTAGGAGTCCCTTTCAAATCTATGATACTATATCTCTCTGTGTGTGAATCATATCTATCTATCTATCTATCTATCTATCTATCTATCTATCTATCTATCTATCTCTATTCCTGTCAGGAGGACTTTGATTACGTTTTCTTGCTCTGATGAAGGGAGTTGGATTGGATAGCCTTAAATATTTTCTGTTGGTCATGGGGGTTCTGTGTGAGAAGCCCCGATTCTGTCGTTCGTGGGGTTCAGAAAGCTCTTTGATTGTAGGTGAACTGTGAATCTCAGTGACTACAGCTCCCAAATGTCAAGGTCTATTTTCCCAAATTCCACCAGTGTTCACATTCGGGCATATTGAGTATCTCTGCCAAGTTTGGTCCAGATCCATCATTGTTTGAGTCCACAGTGCTCTCTGGATGTAGGTGAACTACAACTCCAAAACTCAAGTCAATGCCCACCAAACCCTTCCAGTATTTTCTGTTGATCATGGGAGTTCTGTGTGCCAAGTTTGGTTCAATTCCATCGTTGATGGAGTTCAGAGTACTCTTTCATAGAATCATAGAATCATAGAATCATAGAATCAAAGAGTTGGAAGAGACCTCCTGGGCCATCATCCAGTCCAACCCCATTCTGCCAAAAAGCAGGAATATTGCATTCAAATCACCCCCGACAGATGGCCATCCAGCCCCTGTTTAAAAGCTTCCAAAGAAGGAGCCTCCACCACACTCCGGGGCAGAGAGTTCCACTGCTGAATGGCTCTCACAGTCAGGAAGTTCTTCCTCATGTTCAGATGGAATCTCCTCTCTTGTAGTTTGAAGCCATTGTTCCGCGTCCTAGTCTCCAGGGAAGCAGAAAACAAGCTTGCTCCCTCCTCCCTGTGGCTTCCTCTCACATATTTATACATGGCTATCATATCCCTCTCAGCCTTCTCTTCTTCAGGCTAAACATGCCCAGCTCCTTAAGCCGCTCCTCATAGGGCTTGTTCTCCAGACCCTTGATCATTTTAGTTGCCCTCCTCTTGACACATTCCAGCTTGTCAATATCTCTCTTGAATTGTGGTGCCCAGAATTGGACACAATATTCCAGGTGTGGTCTAACCAAAGCAGACTAGAGGGGTAGCATTACTTCCCTAGATCTAGACACTATGCTCCTATTGATGCAGGCCAAAATCCCATTGGCTTCGATTGTAGGTGAACTATAAATCCCAGCAACTACAACTCCCAAATGACAAAATCATTTTTTTGAGTGAGGGTCATACATTGGGTTGTTAGGTGTCCAAATTTGGTGTCAATTCGTCCAGTGGTTTTTGAGTTCTGTTAATCCCACAAACGAACATGACATTTTTATTTATATAGATAACGTGTGCTGCTTTGATGTCCAGCAGATGGCGCTGTTTTGGGGAAAAGCATATTTTTTACCTTTCACAGGTGTGACATCCACCTGTGATGTCCATCGTTGGTGGAGTTCAGAATGCTCTTTGATTGTAGGTGAACTATAAATCCCAGCAACTACAACTCCCAAATGACAAAATCATAATTTTTGAGTGATGGTCACTCCTTGTGTTGTGAGATGTTTTGTTGCCTAATTTGGTGTGATTTCGTTCATTGGTTCTTTTGTTTTTAAGGTACTCATTATGCACAGAGCATTTTATATATATAGATGTAATGCAATATAATACTAATAATACAATAATACAATTATATATTTATATTACATGTAATATTACTAATAATATTACAATATAATCGTATAGTACAATATAGTAACATTTAATACTGATATTGTACTATGTTAATCTATATAAAAAATGTAATGTTCGTTCGTGGTATTAACATAACTTAAAAACCACTGGACGAATTGACACCAAATTTGGACACAAGACACCTCTCAGCCCAACGAGTGACCATCACTCATAAAAACACCGAAAAACAGCAAAAGAGACTTCAAGAGCCAAAAAAAGCAAAAGACACTGCAGCGCATGCGCAAAAACGACTCCCCCTGGGAAAGAAAACACACAATAGCATATCCACACTCTCTTCTGTACTACAGCTCCCAGCATTTCCTAGACCTTACTTACTTACTTACTTACTTACTTACTTACTTACTTACTTAGGCGATCGCTCGTTGGATGAGTAAGATGGTCTTCCATGATGGGTTTCCTTGTGGGTCCGTATGTGGCTGTGGAGCCCTCTTCTTGCTCTGCATCTTCTCCCACTATGAGGGCATTGGTTTC